AAAGCATTTAAAAACGTGCTTAATTTCAGGCTGTGTGCGTAATCCCCTGGAAATCAATGGGAGTTAAGCATTTGCTTAAATGCTTCGCTGAGCTGGACCCTAAGCAGACAAGCCAGACAAAGAGGGGATGAAGCGGAGATTTTCTCCTGGGAGTGGCAGCAAGGAGAATCCCTCTCTTTGAATCATTACCTTGCTGCTTCTGTCATGCTAGAGGGGATCCTTCTTCCCTCGAGTACACCGCTACCAGCCTGGGGTACGTCCCTAACCAGCCAGCCGCAGCTGGGAGGATGAAACCTTGGAGGCTCAGAACTCTTGCAGGGTGCCTGCTGCGGCTGGAAACATGTGCATCCCCACACACACGTCCAGATGTCATTTAAAGGAGAGCAGTGAGCTACAATGGATGGGAATACAAGCAGGAAATCCTCTTTTGCTGCACAAACCTGGCCCTTTTCCAGATACCATGTCATCACTTTTCGCGTAAGTTAAAAAAACTGACCTTCTGCTGCCTTTGCTTGCAGCAAGTTTAAATTACTTAAGACTTTTTTTTTTTTTTTTTTTTTTTTCCAGATGCTGTTTTCTTAAATTACTTACTGAGAAAGCCTAAGTCAATCTACATATTAAACATACCGGAGATTGGAGTCCAAGTCAATGTGGCTCACGACAGACCTAGGGAACCAAGTCTCTCTCCCAGAGAGCCTGTACTCCCCCTTCTCCTTCTCCGTTAGCTTAAGGCGATAAAACTTTGAAGATGTAATCTAGGCATTATCTGCCTTTTTGGATAATGTTCAACAGTAATTTTAGTGTCGTCTTTATCTCCAAAATGGTTGCTTTAAATTCAGCTGCTTCCTTCCCAGAGGCTGGTTTGACTTTTAGGCAGCAAAATATCTTTCTGTGTGTCCTCCCTTTTGGTGGGTCAGATTTTTTGGGTTCTGGTTTATTCTCCTATTTGTTTTCCCCCTCTGCCATACCTCCTCTTTAGCTCTGTTTGGCTTTTCTTATACCAGGATTTATTCTTCCCATGAAAGGATTCATCCATGCAGAAGAGCTCAGAGCATATTCCAGAGATGGGACCTGGGACCTGTCCCTGCTTCCCACCAGTGCCCTTGAGATGCCCGTGCTGTTGGAAAGGATCAAGGCAAGAAGACATCCTATCTCAGGGACTGACCCAAATTTTCTACAACCCCTTTCAGGATAGACACCACGGAGTACTACCCTACCTACCCCCTTCTCCCTCCTGTTTTACGTTTATTGAATTTTGGTGTGCCTTTCAAAGCTATGTTTGTTCAGAAACATTAGGAACAAGGTTTACTACTTTCTGCTTAAAAAAGAAATTTGAAAACTAGGTCAGCTCACATTTCCCCAATCTAGATAATTTTCTGTGGGGAAACTGAACCATTCCCTCCTTCCTTTTTTTTTTTTTTTCCTCCTGACAAATTCTTTAGCATTAGTATGCAGTCTCAAATATATATTACCTTCCTTTTTGCAAAGAGAGAACCTGCTTCCAATAAAACTTCCCCCGAGACACTGGATCTGGCTTTGACTTCCCTGATTAAATGGGCTATGGATTTAATTTGACAAGAGAGGGAACTGATTTAACAGATAAAGTATCTTGTTCAAAAGGTGATGTTTCCATTGCAGTCCAATCTCTGTTGGGTCCCCCCCGTCATGTATGGTTGGAGCTTGCTATGAAATATCACCTTCTGCAAAGTTATATTTATCACAGCTTCTCTCCTTTCCCCGTATTTCTGATTAGATCGGCCCAAAGCCATGTGATTCTGCAGCAATGTGGCATGTGTTTCTGCAGGCTGCAAAGTGATGAGGACCCCAAGTTCTTCAGGTGGCAGGAGCTCCTCTGCTGGAGCTGCAGGGACCTGCACCTGCCCTTGGACCAGGGCAGCAGAGATGTCTCTGTGTCTCTGACCTGCCAGCACGGTTCTGCTGCAACATAACATTGCTTTTCCCTTCTGCTGTGATCGCATCCACGTGGCTTGGGCTTTAGGGGGGAGGCAGGGAGGGTCCCTGCCTCCACAGAGGTCACAGCAAGGCTTGGGGGCTGGCTGGGAAGACCCCAGGAATGGGGTCACACAGTCAGCAGCCTTTCCAAAGCTCAAATGCCTTCCAAAGTGAAGTCTGCTGGGCCTTATCGTTGTCACTGGGCTGTTTCAGGGGCGGGATGGGCAGAGGTTGCAGGCAGGCACACGATGCAGAGGAAGGGCAGGATCTGAGCATGGGAGCAGCTCCGCAGCAGGAAGAGCAGCCGGCCGTGGGGTGCTATGCAGGGAGTGTTCACTGGGGAGGATTTATTTGGAGCACCCTATAAAACCCACTGGTCTGCTAACGGCACCATTCGCTTCACTGTGGTGTCAGCAAGCTGCGTGCAATTCCATCTTTAACACAGCCTCTTTATCACAGGCTGTTCTCCAGCATTTGAGATACTCACAGCCTCGCTGGTGGCAGGTGTGGGACAGACCCCATCCCACCCGTAGCATCTCGCCAGATCTCAGCTTCCTTGCTGGTACACGCCAACACATTCCTCTGTATCCCGAAACCAAGGCTTCAGCAAGCTCTGCCAACGAGGGTTGATGACCCAGGCAGAAATCCTTCGTGTGTGAGCGCGTCTAAAACCGAGCCGAGGAGCGTCTCTCCCGTTAGCTGTGACTGGCATCCAGGGCTCGCAGCTCGTATGTAGGTCACTGGCTCTGAAATAGCATGGAAGTCAGGCACTCGTGTCCCCGGTGTGCCGGGCGGCGTATTATCTGCCTGCCTGCAGGAGGTCTGGCTGGGGAAATGCTGGATGCTGAGGGAAGAGCTGGTAAAAAAAAAAATAAAAATCATCCTGACTGCCAGTGTCCATACAAAATAAAACAAAACAGCTTTTGGGGGGAAACCAGCTCTTAGGGCTGCTACAGTTTATTATCTGTGTCTCTAAATTCTTCCTGCAACTGCTGTGGACAGAGAGAAGATGTCCTTTGTGTGCTTGTAGGAGAGGTACATATACGCTGCATGACTCCTGCTGACGTGCCAGTTGTTGCTGTGTCACCTGGGTGCTGCACAGTGTCCTACAGGGGGATTTCATGGGGTCTGGAAGGAGAATGGGTGTCTGCACCTGGTTCATCCCCAGCCAGTTAAAGGTTTGCCCAGCTCTCGACACTAAATTATAACCTCAGGCTCACTAAGTAAGTGGAGGACTTACTTAAAGAGCCATCCCTGTTAGCAATGGGCTGCCTGGGTGCTGCCTGAAAGGAACTGCTGGAACGTGCTCTGTAGGCACATCTCCTCTCCTGGTCATCTCTCCTCAGGCACCCCGTGAGGTGAAGAGGTTTCCTCTTCCAAGGCTCTTCTCACAGGCCTTCGATCTTTGGGTTTATGGGAATTTTTTAGACACTGTGGCAAAGCATTTCTCCTTCCCCTGCTGATGATGGGGGAACCATCAAACTCCTGGTCATGTCACAGGTAATAGCTATTTTTTTGATTAAGGACCATCTCAGCAAGCAGAATTTTGCTGGAGGAGGCATTGCTCAAGAAGATGCATTAGTGCACCTGAGCAATTTTTTTTTGCAAGACTAGCAGAGACTCATTGCCCTTTTGTCTGGCCTGCTGTAATTTAGCTGCTGGTTATACCACACCATGTTAGAAACACAAAGTGGCAACTTTAACCCTTCATTCTTAATAGCTGCTGTAAAGAAAACATTTTGGAAAGCTGTAGTTCATATTAGAAATGAAGAAAAAGTTATGTGCCTTAGGTGAAGGCGAACTGAAGACAAACACAGATGGTTTCTTCATGACCAGCTGCAGGCATAGCATGGTAGATATCATAATTTATGTTCTCCCTCATCCCTTGGTAGTGTGTTCAGCCACGTCCTACTCTGATGTTAAAAGATTCAGATCTTTTGGCTGCTGTATGTCTTTGTGATATACAGCCTGGCTCCCCTGCAGCACGCAGGTCACTGGGAATACTTCTGTGGCTAAGAACTTTATCTGATGTGCAACTGAACTGGGAGAGAGACATAAAATAATTGCTGCAGTTTAATGAATATATTGTTTTTATGGAAGATGATAGTTTGCCCACTCTGTACTGGCAGAGGAATTTAAGACTTTGCCCTAGTAAATCAGGACTGGAATCCTTCTCAGCATAACTGGCTGTCCCTATACAGTCTGTAGAGATAAATAGTGGACTTCAGAGGGCGGTTCATCTTACCCTAGAGCAGACTTCTGGAATAATACAGCTGAAGTAAGCCATGAAGTTTCCTCAGAGCATGAAGGGAACCCAAAATAATTGTCACTGAGGTGGATATATCTGCCTTGGAGATCTGAGCCCACTACTGATGGTTTTGGATTAGAGACTCCCTCTTTCTGGACTTCATTTCCTTTCCTACTGCCTGATCTTGTCTCTTTAGGATGTTATGCTCTCCTCAACAGGGACTGCCTTCAGCATAAGCAACCACCAGCTCAGTAGGGTCAGGATTCAGCTGGGATGAATTGTACAGCTCCATTAATAACAGCAACATGTTGCCAAAATGCTGAGAAGTGAGGAAATAGCAGAAGAATTGGTGAAAAGAGAGGAACAAGAGAAGAACATCTCATGTCCTGAGTCAACAGAAAGAGCTACTGTCTCTGAAAGTGCCTGTCTGACAGCTAAAGGCTCCCATGATGGAAGAGGTGAGTCTGCTGGCTGCTGAAGAGAAGCGGGTGTGTGCACAAGAGGTACTGTGCAGAAGTGCTAATGACAGCAACCATAGAAACCACAGACCAGGGAAGACTGGGGCAAGAGGTGATGCAGAGAAAGAGTTCATGTGGGAACCTTTCAGCTCTACCCAGGTCCATGCCTGCTTGAGCAGCTTTTTACCACCCAACAGAGAGCTGATAAAATGTCTCTTTAATGCCCATTATCACCAACCTTTCTTAATTGCATCCTTCTGGGAGTGTTTTGCGACAGCATCATTAACAGTATAAGCTTCATGACTCATTAGAGTTACCACAAAGTAGTGGTTTGTATGAAGTTACAACAGCCACCTCCCTCCCGAAATCATAGCTCTAGTGTTCATCAAACGTGACTGAAAAACTCCCAGCCACTGCATGGAGCTTTGCAACAGGTTTGATCTACAACTGACAGCTGTTGATCCTGGATTATGGCAAGCATCAGCACACATTGTGGAGGAAAGCACATACATATCCGTGTCTGCACATTCATGCATGTGTTAGTGCAGACAGAGGGTCTGCACCCAACTCTCTCCACCCCATCTCACTGCAAAGTCCACCTTCAGAGTTGTTCAGGCTCTGCTTCCATCTCGTCTGCCTTTCAAAGAAATAGCATGTGTTGCTGCAAGGCATGACTGAAGGGAAAGCAGAGCATGCAGCCCAGCCCCTCCAGGCAGGGAGTGTCCACAGCCTGCATTAACAGCAGCAGAGCCTGGTGTGAGCAAGGCAGAGAAGCCAGCATGATAAATAGGAGCAATTACTGGAGGCCTTTTCTTCTCCGTCATCTCTGTCTATCTCTTTACAAATGCAGTACTTCCTACTTGTTGCAAATGCTGTTGAGGCATGGAGAAGCTTCAGTAAATAATGACCAGTCCCTGTAAACAGAGGAATAAATGAGAGTCAGCCTCAGCAATGGCTCCCAGAAGACTGCCCGTAATGGAAGGAAAGGATAGCAGCCAGCCAGGCCTGCAAGGGCTGTTATTCACGCTTTACCGGGAACGTGGCTTAGATCAAGGGAAGGTTTTCTCTGCATTTCATCTCCTCCTAGATTCATAACCCTCAGGCTATTAGTCCTTCTCATCTGACTTCCTGGAGACCGTAAGCCCATCTCATCTGGCTTTCCGGTATGGTGAAAATATTCCTCCCTCCTGTTCCTTGCACAGAGCAAAGCAATTAGTGTTTTGGCTCGAGCATCTTTTCCCTGCTCTGTCCCAGGGTCCAACCTCCACCAGCCTCTAACAGCTGTGCTGCTGAGCCCGTGAAAGACATCAAGTTAGAGGCAGCCCTGGCCTCCCAATTTGCAGACTGTGCAGGGTCTGGCTGGCATGGAGGTAACTCAAGTTGGGTGCCCAGCTGCACTATCAGGTGAAGGGTGAAATGTGGCTCCTATTTTCAATCAATGGTGTCATGACCCTCTTATTTTATAAGGGTCTCCCCTTCAGAAAAGCCCCAGCACTGTGTCTGAGCAGATCCTCACCGCATGTAAATCGGTGAAGCATTAGCGTCAGTCAGTGGAACATCACTAGTTTATCTAACCAAAGTTCTGGTTTTGTTTTTTCACAGAGTTTGTAACAGGTATTGCCCAGGGGGATAAAGACACGATTAACTGAGAAGGTGGCAAGCATCAGCTCTGATAATACTCCATAGGAGCCTTGACACATTGTTAGAAAGGGTGGTGTAGAGAACACTGCACCGGTCCCAGCCTGCATCGAAACATGGTGCTCTGAAACACTTTGGACAGTGATGACTCTGAACACATTGGACAGTGATGACTCTGGCCATAGGATCCCAAAGGTGTTCTTTGGAGAGAACTGAAAGAATAAAGGAGCTTTTGATCTTCAGGTTCTTGTCTGCTTTTTATTTATTTATTTATTTATTTATTTATTTATTTATTTATTTGTTCTGGTATGTGTGTTTCTCTCAGAAAAAAAAATAATAATAAAAAAAGGATTGATAAAGACAGTTCCCAAGTGTATGCATGAGTGTTCCTGTTGTGGAAGGGATGGACACACTTGTGAGGCATTGCTGGTCTCTCCTTCTGTGACACTATATATACAGCTTTGTGTATTTTCCTCCTTTGTGCTATGGGTATTGATCTCTACAGACTGGAAATACGGGCAACAGGCACTCTTTGAACCCTCTGGATTTCCCAGCTTTTCTGTGATAGTGGGTGATGTAAGGGGTCTGCGTGGTCCTTTGCCATGTGTGGGTATTTTCTTGGATACCTCTGACTGTATAGCCTTCACAGGATCACTAGATGATCTTTAAGGTCTTTTTCAACCCAGGCCATTCTATGACTCTATGATAAGTTCACCATGGCCATGTCTTACACTGTGACAAGGCTTCACACTGCAAGCCCCTCTCCTTGGCAGAGCACGCTGCCCCGGCAATGTCTTGCAGGCCAGCTTCAGGCTGGAAGGCTGGACATCCCACCAAAATGAGAGAGAGCAGCTCAAACCTGAGCGCCTCCATTACAAGCAGGACTGACTAAGTCCCTTGGCTCCAAAAACTTGACCTGGGATTGAATTCACCTCTCCAAGGGTGAGCAAAATGGATTGGTGCGGCCTGCAGTGCACCGTGCGGGGCCTGGCTGTGGCAGGCATGAAGACGACAAGCTCTCTTTTCCCTCGGGGCAGCCTGTCCTGGTTTCACCAGGGACCCCACTACTCATGCTGGGCAGGGGGCTCTGCCAGCCCTCTGGTGCTCCTTGGCCAGCTTTAATCCAAGCCTGTCTTAAAAGCATGCCGAAGGCCCCAGGTCCTCTGGGAGCCCTGCTTGAAAAGCACTAAGGCAGCACAAAGCCAGGCTGTCAGCAGTGTTTTTTTTTCACTCATATAAAGCACACACGGGTTTTTCTTGTCACATTTTGTGTGAATTAATTCTGGTGGGAGATACCAGGCTGTTAACTGGGGGACTCCAGCCCTCGTTTGTCCAGAGGGCGGGCATGGTGCAGATGCAGTCGGCTTTCCGATGCACCTCTATGGGGATGTTGGGGCAGTGAGGCAGAGGCAAGGCCACTCGTGTGCCGGAATCGCTCCTTGCATACAGCAGGCACTGTGCTCATTACTGCTTTGTTACCTGAGTGCTTTGCTGGCCGTCTTTTGTATTCGCTGACTGCCTTTCATCTTTTATTTAGATCGTATCAACTTGCTGTTCTATTTTTATACAGCACCTATCACCCAGGGACGGGCCAAAACCATCCATCAGGCTTTTCCCTGATGGGATTTAGCCTTTTCCATCCTCACCTTGATTTTTCTGCAGTGTCCCCAAGACACACACTTTTCTGGGTTTTCTCTACACAAGGATCAGAATGGTGATTTTAGAAGTTACACCTTCTCTGTTGCATTCAGGATGTGCCAAAGTGCAATTGAGTTATCCCGACTGGGATATTCAGAGCTTCCAGGTTATATCCTGGGAGATAACAACATCTAAATCCCCACCACCAACACTTTTTTTTTTTTTTTTAAAAGCAAGCTCAGAAGGAATATCTGTCTGACTGCTATGATCCCACATCATGCCAGAAATCCCTGTCTAGACCGTGGCCGGCAGGGCTGCATTGCCGCAGCAGAGCAGTCCCTCCAGAAGTGGCTGCTGATGGATGTCTGCAGTAGCTGGCCAAGATTTCCATCTCATCATTACCCAACTAGAGCTGAGGGGAGTCCAAGGACGCCTGCAAAACATGCAGTAATGAGGCCAAAATGCTTGCTGAGGAGTTCCCGCTCCCTGCAGCCCTTTCCCATGTTGTGTGCACAGTCCTGTGCCGTGGGGGGCTGGCTGGGCGGAGGGGACACTCCTGGCCATCCCCTCTCTCTGCCTGCTCCTGCCTGGCCCCAGGAGAGGAGACGTAAAGCCAGCACAGCTTTCAGGGCTGAGAGATGGAGAGCTAGCCGGTGTTTGTTTTCTAGGAAGCAGACAGGATTGCCCGATACTGCACCCGAGGCACCCTGTTATTTTCTTAGAAAAGTAAAAAATGAATGTAGCCAGCAGCTCAAGGAGCAACAGCTGCCTCTGGAGCACTGCTGGTGGCTCCCACAGGGATGCTGTGTCTGTCTTCTTCTTCCTTGTCTGCAGCTGGTGAAGCAGCTCATTTACTGTGCTCGGTTTTAACACCTTATTAACCATGGGTGCCTGAGGCTGAACAGAAAGCGGCCCAAGGCAGGTGAAGGGGTGGGAATGGACTTACAGACTTATGGTGGCCCAGTACTGAAATTACCCTGGAAGGAGGCTGCAGGCTTTGTAAGAGCAGCTGAACTCAGGCTCTATGTCAAGAAAGCTGCCTCTCTGCTCCCGCCTTTCTTTGCCTCTGTTTCCCTCTGCGTGTCTCTTGTCTTCTGCTTCACCATCCAGGGGAGTCTCCTCCTTTCCCAAAACAAGCAGACTGATGGTTTCCTGCTTCCATCACACCATGGGGATGATTAGCAGGTCAATTATCTATGACTGCTTCCACACCTCTCTTTTTGGTTGCTGTTTGTTCTTATTTCCCCCAGGAAATATCAGCCTCCACTGATGGCTTTGATGATCTTCCACATCAAACTATCCCTGGAATTGGGGCTAGACAGTCACATCAGGAGGATGGAAATCCACTGTAATTATCTAAAATGACCAATGATCTGCTAAAAATGAAAGCAACAAAGGGTGGAGCAGCTCAGTCCACCCTGCCAGCCCCATGCTGAATGCCAGCTCCAAGTAGTGGCCTATGGGACATCATCAAATACATGGATTTTGTTGCTCCCTCTCCCTTTCTTTCTTCCTTTGTTTCCCTCCTGTTTAATTCATTCATCTCTAAGCAAGCTTTCCCTGTTTACAACCTCTCTAAAACACTTACAAATGATATATCAAGAGGAATATTAATTGTACATGCAGCTTATTCCATTCATAACACTCATCTCACAGAGAGCATCACCTAGAGTCCACTCATGACATATTAATAACAGAGATGACAGACTTGACATTTACAGCACTCTTTCTAAATGACTTCTCCCACTCCCAGCCCTACTCGTATTGGTTCAGGAGAGAATACGCTGTCACATACAGCTTTCTGATGGAGAGGGTAATACATTTAATAGATACCATAAAACTATACTGGGTATCAGTATCAATCTTTGAATCTGTTGTGACTGCAAATATGTAGATTAGATGTCTATATAAAATGTTGATGTATCAACACATCAGCTCTCATTTACATCGATTGCATTATTTAGGATGAAGGTGTGTTCTAAAATAATGTTGGTGATGTCTGGATTTATGGAGCAGCTGCTGGTGTGTTGAGTTTTATCTTCCTGGTGTAGACTGAACAGTCCCCATCAGCTTTGTTTTAGGCCTGCAGTATACATGAGAAGAACTGGAGATTTTCCATTATCGAGTGTTCAGAAATGTCACCCAACTCAAAATCTGCTGGGGAATTTAGTCCTTTCCTTCGACAGCTGTGTTGAGCCATGAATGGCACAGGATGTTCTTTTGTGGGCATTTGGCATCGCAGAGAGGTTGATGGATTGGAGTGTGTTAAGAGGAAAGGAACAGAAAAGGATATAAGAGTTGAAAAGACTGATTTATGGGGAAAGATAAAAGGAAATCAATGTGGAGGGAGAACTCTCTCAGGCTCTGGTACTTAGATGAGCTCTAGGATTTCTCAGCCCTCAGGTTCTTGCTGCCTGAGGCACTTTTGAGATGGAAGCACTTTGGTTCCCCTCCACGGGGTCAAGACTTAGGAAAATGAGGCTGCTTTCTGGACTGACACAGCAAGCCTGTAAGAGGTCAGGAAACGTCCTGGCTCCCTTTAGATCAAACCACCCTGCCCTACACTCACACCTGCCTTTACCTCTAACTGCTTGGTCACCTTAAGGACTTGCTGAGGGCCAGATGCTGTTAGGAGCAAATCGCCTTCTACCGAGCATTTAGGGTGTCCTCAGGAAAGCCCTGAGGGTGGAAGGGCAGGAGCCAGTAACTCCTGCAGCACGTAGCTGTGGGTAAATGGGACAAGTGAGATATGGTGTGGTTCCTGGCTCCAGTGCAGGGCATTGTAGAGCACAAAACTGGAGTGAGAGTGATGGACAGAGCCGTGTCCTGGCTTTTACACCAGCCACAGCACCCACAGGGTTTGCTGGGAGGAGGAAACCAGGCTGCAAGCCTTCCCTAGTGCTGGGGTAACACATTGGGCTGGTGTGAGGGGGCCCTGGCCCTACCTGTTTGATGGTGGGTGGTAGGAGCCTGGGGCTATGCCTGCTCCTCCAACTTTGCAAATGCTTTCTCACATTGCCCTGTTTTTTCTCAAAGACCTTCATGGAACCAGTGCAACATCCATGGCAGTCAGGATTTTCCTAGTTGTGGCTTTCTTGCTTATCGTGGTCAGCGAGGACCTCCTG